AAAGAAGAGAAAAAAACCCCCACTAAAATTAAAAAGACAGCGCAAATAGGCCATTTATACCATGTAAAACCCCACTAATTGAGAAACTTGTTGGTGATCTAGCAAAACAAAGAATGGGAGAGCCCACAAGTGCTAACAATGAAGGCCGGAGCGAATGAGTGGGGAGAGTGTACCATGCGCAGACAAGCAGTTATGAAGCAGAACGTATTGCGTGATAGGCCAGCCTACTCTAGATTATCTAGGCCTACCATCCCTCTCACTTTTCCGATGCGGGGATAGAGAGGCCATAGTGCTGTGAATACTGTGATGAATGGAGCGAATGTATGACATGTGCAAGCAGACGGAACGCACCACAGGGTGTTGTGGGGTGGGGGACAAACCAGCGGGCGAATTAGCCAAGAGAACTTTCTTTCTGACCGCCAATGTCGAACTGTCAACATTGCTAGTGCTAGAGAAAGAAACCTGATTCGATTTTCGATCAAGTAAGACCAAGAGGTCATGTTGGGCACAATCATCATCAGGAGCGATAACAAAAAGAAATAAATAGAACACAAAACTTATAGATTAGGCGTACTTTATTATTTCCTTTGAATTTATTTTGCATCCCTTATAACGAGAATCCTGCTACAAAGGACATTTCGTACCATTCCCCTCCTCTCGTTATAACAGGATTACACTGTAAAACATCTGAGTGTGGCAAGCAACTCATTTTGTCGTGCTGCAATATATGGTAACACTCAAAATAATCAGAACTTGATGCGTCTGTGTAACATCTAGGTTGGCATGTGACTAAAAATATCACAGAATGTAACTAAAAATATCACAGAAATCATTACAAACATATCAAATACTGTGGACTTCCTTACTCCTCATCCCTTCGGGGTTTGACCACTACAAATTATCGTAGCTTGCCACGACTTTTTCCAGGCTGACAAAAGAATCCAAGAAATCCTCTTCCGTCATGCCGTGCTTTAAGTACTGGTGGACGTATGCCCTGGTGGAGAACATCGTCCAAGCTTTGTCGATGATGCGATTGAGAGGCTGCACGCTGGCTCGACTGTTGCTAACCAAAGCTGCCGACTTCTCGTACTCGCAGAACAACCGAGGTTGTCTAGCAACACAGCATGTCATATCTGAGGGCATCCAGGGGGTGTAGATGCTGGAGTCGGTGAAGTAGAAAGGGTCCACAGAGTTCGCATCTTTTCCTCTCAGGACGACCAGGGAGGATAGTGACCGGTTGAAGCAAGTGTGGCCACTGGCTGTACGACTCGAAGGTTTTATCGCCCAATTAATACCTGCCAGACAAAAGACAGGGAAATAAAAAACCCATTAAGTTTATAGGTACCAAAATTATTTAAAGACTACAGAGGGGAAAAGTGGCAGCTTTTTAACATTTTGAGTTATACCCCCTGATACTACACTTGAACATGACATAACATTTCAAATTTAATTTAAAGGAAGGAAAATTATAGAGTCCATGTAATAATAAGCAGCGAATATTTTATATCCTTTTTTAAGGTATGAGGTTTCAAACTTTAAAACTAAGATGTCTCAAAATTACCAATTTGTGACTCTGACATTTTTTTCCCCCCGTAATCTTCATTTCTTTTTGCTTGAATACAAAAGAAACACATAGACACAATGAAGGTCATACAGTGCCGAGACAAAAATAAAGGAGCAGAACATACCAGAAGTTTTGTTTGCTTTTTCTTTGATAGAGAGAAGCACATTGACATACAATGAAGTTTATTTAAATTGAAATCTGCAGGACCACCAGATTTTATTCAGTTTAGTCGCTTTTTTTTCAGTTTAGAGAGACAGCTCAAATAGAAGAAATTCAAATATCAGGGATTTTATATATTCTTTCATATCACTGAAGCTCATGGAATGCCCCGCAACATAAAAAATAAAGAAGCTGTCTTTGCATCTGCAACGAGCAAGCCAGGAAAAAAGTTTAACTAAGAAGTGAGTAGGCCCTCGAAACAGTGAAGCATGTCAGAGCTTGAAGGAATCTCCTGCAAATCCACTGTGACCCCCCCCCCCCCCCATAATGATAATGCACACAAAGTCAAGTAGTTTCAAACCAGGGACTAAACTTTACTTTGCCCAATTTTTTCATGGATTAAACCACAGAAAGATTGTTGCTGTAGTGAAAGCTCCTACTGGCCTCATATTTCTCAAAATTTGGAATAGAGTGAGGTATCTGTAAAAAAAATCAAAACAATGCAGTAAGGGCAAACGAACAACAAATCAGACAACGGGGAGTGGGGGTGGGGAGGTTGTTGCCTTTTTAAAAAAATTATTCCAGAAACCAGTTACAAGGTTAGAGAATGACAGCATCAAAATATGGAACAAGCCCATGGAGGAAGGGCATCCAGTCACTCCGTTAGCTCAAGGTAACTCACCTTCCTCCATAGGTGCATTGGCTATGAGCATCTGTCTCAGGTTTTTGATCAGTCCGGACCACTGGTGGAAGCTGAACTCCCTGGCTACATCCGACATCTGAGGGATGTTCTTAATGGTAAGAAGCTTATGTTGAGGGTGGGGAACTAGATGCTCCAACATGGAACCTGTGTTAAAAAAAACACATGGATGATAATGATAATATAACCATTATATATGAACTATGCTGTGCCCGTGGCAGCCCGCAAATAACAAAGAAAGATATGCAAATTTTCAAAAACCCAAAACTGTGGAAATACATGGGTAGAGATAAACTTCTTGTGTGGAATACAAACAATGACAGCTGATACACTCATTCTTAGTTTTTGTGTCGGAAAAGTGCGCGGACACTTATGAATGTAAAGAAATAAAAATGTGGTCAGTCTTTGCAAAAGAAAACAGAAAGAAAAACTGGAAAAGTCTGGTGCTGATTCAATGTCATTGAAAAGCCAGAAATCATTCTAAAACCCCAGTCAGTACAAGCTGTCCCCATTTTTCAGTCAACTTATAAAACCTAAGGCTTAAAGTTTTAAATAAAGTTAGGAATTTTTTTAGTGTAACAGATACTGCACATGTATTCTGGACATATTCTGGCACTAAATTGATTCATACTTCTGTGTAGAAGACCACAATGTAAATTAGCATAAACTTTCATGAAAATATGAGGATGTTTATGATTGTGTTAGACATTAAGTTGTATTTGAAGCAACTACATGTGTGAGGTCACAAAATAATTTTTAGCAAATTGTGTGCAAGGTCGATTACGGTGCAGAAATACAGCTTTCTATAATCTGCAAGGATATGCGCATTTGCCAGTATCTATGTTATGTCGTTCACGTTTTGTCGAGCTGTTTTTTTAATATATTTGTTTTTCATCTAGACATAGCAAAAAAATTTCACAATTTAGAACTTGCGCATCTTACGAAATAAGCAGACAAGTTACAATATCTGTTCTTTTTTTAGTCTCCACAGCTGAGAAGCGACAGGGAGCTGACCCCCCGTGACCCCGACATGATAAGGGGCTCAGCAGGGAACGCCCGACTGCAACTAAAATTGCACTGCTGGTGCGCCGTGACAGTTGCCATAATCAAAAGAGAGAAAGAGAGAAAAAAAGAAAGAATAAAAGAAGAGAAAAAAACCCCCACTAAAATTAAAAAGGTGGTTTTCTTTACCAAGATCACACATTTGTCCTCCTCCAGCACTATCTGAGACACAGGGCTGTAACACGCTGGTCAGCTTGTGGGCAATCACACGATTAATGTCTTCAAAAGAAATGTTCTTGATGGCCAGAAGCTGGTTGCAAATCTTGTGCAGTGTGTCATTCTCCATCACTACGAGTGCGTCGGCCGTATCGTAGAGGTGAGATAATGTCAGAACTGCATTGTAGTTCTGTACAATAACTTCTCCCGTCGTGTATGGCCAAACAACCTGCGCAAAAGAGAGACAGTAATCACTGCATTTGAGTTTGGTTGTTGTTAAGTTCATCGACAAGAAGTTAATTTAGTGCAGGGCAGGGAAAAGTAAGACAGGCAGACAGAATTAGCAAAGGGTAAGAAAAGAGAAAGGAACCCACAAGTGGCATCCTTTTACTAACCTACTGCATCCACTGAGTACTGCAGTGTGTCAGTTTCTTAATGCTATCCGTACGCCCTGTGGTCATTTTGAACCCCCAGGGTTGTATTCTTCACATTTTAGAATACTTTTAGTACGAAGATCTCTTTGAAACTGTCAGAATTTCTCAAAAAAACGTTTTGACAGACTGCTATGCACAGCGTATGGATC